CCAAAAGACGCAACATCGCCCCCCTACTTGCCTGGAAGCCCTCGCGGCGAGAGTACCTTCAGACGGACCCCGCGTCAATGTGACTGCGATCCCCCCATGGGAAGTCCCCATATGGAAGGCGCACCTCCAAATCTGGGGTGTCACAACACGCACCAGACGGAGGGAATGGACACAAGATCTTCACAGGTCAATGGAGGGCCTCAACATCGCAGCTGTACACGTCATGGCTGCTCTCACAAATGAAGGCCGAGATGACGGCAAAGTGGTAGGAGCGGCAGCGGCCACCCTGATACAGGGAAATCGCTGGGGAGCGCGACCCGACTGGAGCTGGACCCAAGGTGAGTCAGTAAAGCAATTCGACGTAGACTGCTTTGGCCTAGCCAAAACAGTGGAAGCTCTGACCCAACGATTCGCACACGAAATAGCCCCAGACATAACATACATATTCAGCCCCAGCTCATCAGCGATGCAGGCTGTAATCAACCCGCGATCGAAATCGGCACAACTAGCTGCGTTACTCTTTCATTTCTCGCTCACGTCCTTCACCACGGCTCACCCCAAAGCACAGATTATACTAGTGTGGACGCCACTGGACTATACCCTCGAAAGGCAAACGATGGCGCTGGCCTTAGCAAAGGCAGCCTGTCAACATGACCCCCCAGAAGGACTGGACCAGATCCAGTCGGCGGCTTTCCAAAAAGACAGGGCGCGCAAAAAAGCCTTTGAGGCATGGGCGCGGGACTGGCATAAAGACCACACTGAACGCAAGTCAGGCAAGAAGCCCAAAAGCTTCGCGTACAGCCACGCCCTCACCCGTCCCCCAGATGGCAATAACCACCCCCTGTGGCAGGCAGCCATGGACCGCAAGAAAGACGACAGGGGGAGAAAAGGAAAATACACCTACTCCCGGCGCACGACGTCCACGGCCTTCCAAGTGGCAGTGGACCACGCCTTCACAGGAACGTACGTGACACGGTTCCGCCCCAACGACCCACCCGAAGCCCGGGCCTGCCCGTGCGGCTTCGCCTTAAGATCCCCCCAACACATAACCCACGCGTGCTATCGCTACACTTGGGAACGAGCGGCCTCGAAAATTAACTTTTTCGGCCGGATCGTCCCTTTCCGCAAGATCTTGGGCCCCAACAAGAAAAATGCTATGTGCCTGCTAACTTTTATTCAGGAAAGCGGCGCCTTCACGCGCCCCGAAGCCCACGCTCGGAGGGCAGAACGGGAGCCGGACTGAGATAAACATGGAAAGATTAACAAGGAGAGAGTAACGCGGAGAGTCGAAGAAGGACCCCCCTACCCCCTCACACACGAACCTCTTGGCGTCTGACGCCCTATGATAACCCCCTGCGCGATTGCGAAACCCGGGACCGATAGGTCACCCTAACAGTTCACGCTTCCACCCTACTACCGGTATTTAGTGGGGACAACCCTAGTATACGACTTGTCATTGTAGCTGGTCTGCGACCGGTCTGGGCCAAGGGCCCGCACCCCGGAATACAAATGGTTCAAAAAAAAAAAAAAAAAAAGACTACAGCGATTGTATATTTGGTCGTGTACCTTTGATGATTATAAAACGCATTCCTCTCCCCTCCAGTCACGATATCAACCGCGAGAACACACCCCACCTATACCCTCGCTGCTTCAGGAACTCTCGGAAGCCTGGGAAGACAAAAGGCGTGATGTCTTCCAATTCGACGTCCTCGTACCCAACCTCTCTCATCTGTTTTAGATATTGCTCTTTCGTTGTGATGTTGCGTTTTGGCATGATATGGAGCACACGACACAACAAAAGCGTCAACATTGGCCCAGGAGACGAGGAGAAGCAAAGGTCTGCGAGGACAACATTGCCTCCGGGCGTCAGGCGCCGGAGAGCCTGGCGAATAAATTCTTTACGGGTGTTGAAGTCATATGCACAGTTGAGTGCGAGGATATTGTCGAAATCGTGCTGAAAGCGGGGGGAAAGTGGGTGGCCCTGACGCCCCGGGCGCCAGACAGCGTCACCCCGAAACAAGTGCACGGCTGGGGTATTCTCTGGTGCATGGAGTGCAGAGACAGAACCATTCACTCTTTCCCAGGAACGGCGGTGGTGAGAGGGGAGACTCGTTATCCCGCATAACAGGGACGGTTTGACTACCTCTGGATGGGATAGTTGCAGAAGTATCGAATCGCCGCAGCCGTAGCCGACGTCTGTCCATCTTTAAGTTTAAGAATGTCCACAATACAAGCAACATAATATGAAAACCCACCTAGAACCCGCCCGTTAGGCTTCAGACCAGCTACGCGAGATAACTGAAGAGCCAGTGCTACAAAGTTTGCGAGTAGCCCTGACCCGAGTCACAGGGCTGTAGCACCTTGACACGCTTCTGGGAAGATAACGGTGTCCTATCTCCAGTATTAAATGGACGGCGGGATAAGTTACAGTAAAAACAATGTGTCACACCTTCCAGAATCCCATGTTCAGCCATTCCGTTTGCGGAGGATCAGGTCCCCCTGAAACTTTATTGAACGGGATATGGAATGTCCCATACGGATCGGTGGTTCGACGAGAAAAATACGCGAAGAACACCGCGAATACTAGAGAAGCTAGAATAGTCGCGGACCAGAGGCCCATGATCTGATGAATGAATGATGTTGCCTTGGTGTAAGTTAACTGTACCTTACAGTGACAGTATTGCGTATCTCGTGGGAGATAATTTCTGAAGGGCTTTGACAAGGGACTCGATGGTGCCCGCGAACGAAGTATTACAGCGAGTCGTTCGTGTCTCGTGACAACGTCAATCTCGCCTGCAACCAGGGAAGCCCATGCGAAGCATGTTGGGGAAGGACAAAAGCCACAAGCACGTCAGCTTTTGGCTAGCGCAGCCCTTACCTCGTATCTCTCTCTTCCTTTCCATTCTCCTCAAATGAAAGGCTCGCGACGTCGGATTTTTTACGGTCCCGTTTTACGTTTTCTTGACCATGTTCGTGGGCGATGATATCTCCACCGAAGAAGGTTTATGCACGTCTGACATGTCTCAATTTAATAGACCAACCTAGTCGTGACGGTCCTGACAGCACTCGCCGTGCTTTACACCCGCTCTGTTGGCGTTGTTTACTTCTCTGCGGGCGCACTGGCCTGCATGGTATCTGTCAAAATTCTCAAGCTCGTCCTGCAACAATCGCGCCCGGTGCAGACCACCCGCTACAAGCAAAAGCAATCGTATGGGTATGTAGCAGATGCTCGAGGTCGATCGAGCACGCATTCAACACCGCCCCCAGGATGCCCAGTACGCATTCCGCGACTATCATCTTCTACGGGACCTACGTCATCATGGCCTGTGCAACGCTACCGTTGCACCAGTCACTTCCAGAAAGCTCATTATTCCGTCCCCTGACGACGCTAGTGGCCATTCCATGGGCGTTCGTGGTTCCCGGTTCTAGGGTCTGGTTGGGACACCACACTATAGCACAGGTGGTCGTGGGTTGTGCCTACGGTTTTATTTTTGCGTGCATATGGTTCTCGCTCTGGACTCATGGACTTAACGCACTGGGTGAGATAGTAGAGAATCACGTTCGAGCATATATTGGAGCATATATTTGATGACGGGATGCTTGGAAAATGTGGCCATTCCACTCTAGAGGCCATTCTTCTTTGTTGATAATAATTCTAGATAGCACATATCGAGTCTGAATGCTCCGGACAATATAGCTTTGTTGAGACGCAAATGACAAGCTGTTCGCGGTAATTAGAGCAAGGCTACGGCTGGCTTGCATAAGTTTTCCAAAGTTGTGATGACAGATGGCCAACTCCTGGATGCTACGGAGGTACATCGCTCAAAGACGTCGTGATTTTCGATTTCCACGCGCGGTTTATGCTAGAGTAGCACTGGGGACATAGATGATGCGCAAGCTTCGCTGAACCACATCCGGGACAATGCACCAAGTCTGTACGGTCGTTGAGAATGACATAAGATACACTCTGAAATATCCCTCACTCTGTTTATCTTTGAGGCCCTTGTTTGCGCTACGCATAGCTTTCCGGGAATGTGACACTTTCTTTTTGGGTACGGCAAGGAGGAACGGCGGGATGAGGTCGCGGAGCGATGGGAGAAAGGGTATTGACCACGACGGCCGCAGAATGGCGGATGGAAACGGCGCCAATAATAAGGACGACACAGCGAAAAGTTGACGAGGAATAGCTAGTGACGCCATGATATGTATGAGTGACGGCGTGCAAGAGCAAAGGCGTGTTTGAACTCCGACGAGCCAAAACCAACTCGACACTGCGCTCGGTCGACCTCTTGCAAGCAAAAGCCGAAATGCTCCGTTTCACGCGGCCAGTACTTCAACAGGTGTCCAAGCTATCTACTGGCATATATGGCCTCCCCGTCCACCACAATCCACTTCCGGAGCTCGCCAAGACCTACGAGTCGACCCTCACCGCACTCTCTTCCATCCCCGAGCATGCCGCCTATCGTCAGGGCACGGAGTCCCTCATTCTAAGAAAGTTGAAGATCGTGCAGGACGCGAAGGGGGATATTGCTGAGGTTGAAAAGCAGCTAGATGAGGGGCAGATTGAGGAAGCCATTGAGATTGCCAAAGACGAGCTCAATCTGGTGGCCAAGATGGCCGAGTGGAAGGCGTAGGTCCCACACAATCTATATTGCTACGGTGGACTGATACTGGGCAGATGGGAGCCTCTGGAAGATAAGCCAGAGCTAGGGCAATGGGAATACTTTGGCAAAACATCTACTGCGTCTTAGCGGTGGAACCATAGTTGATGTCAGCGTCCCCCTTCCTCTGATGATTAAAAATGCAATAATGTTGATCATCTCCCGTGATGGTTGTACAACTCATTGCGTAGAAGCTGTAGATATAAAGAGAAGAGGATCATTGATTATTTGTCAATTTCTGCCCGGAGGAAGTTCACCAAGGTGTGGAAAGGCCACCTAGATGACTAGTGGAGGGCATGATTTACTGTCCATACACACAAGATACAGGCGAAAAAGAAACGCTGGAAGCAGGATTTGAACCTACGCGGGAAAATCCCAAGTGATATTTGCCATGTTTGGGCAACATGATTCAAATCACTCGCCTTAACGACTCGGCCATTCCAGCTTATTATGTTGGCGCACAATTAAGCGTATTTGTACTTGTGCATACCATTCGCTTCTCGCTCGCGTACTCGGCATCGTCGCAGCGTCGCTTTTCGTACTGAACCGCAGTCAATGGACTCCCTCATCCCCTTCACAACATCGGGCTCACTAGTAGACTGTGTGGACAGTACGTCTGCTCGAGCCCCGCTGCCTGTGCTTCAGTCAAGTGCATCTGCGCGTCCCCAGGAAAGATGCTCGTCGTTCTGCGCGATGGCCGGAAACTTCACGGTGTGCTGCGCTCTTATGACCAATTCGGTACGTCTGTTGCGAACCTGCGCACGGAAAACTTGAACGTCCCCTGTTAGCGAATCTCGTTCTAGAAGATACGGTAGAGCGAATATACGCCGGCGACACATTCGCAGAAAAGTGGTGTGGGCTATTCCTCATTCGAGGGAGAACGTTGTTCTTTTGGGCGAAATCGTGCCTGCTCTCGCACGTTTATTTTCCACACCTTTTTACAACCCTTTTTCCAGGATTTGGATCAAGAAGACGATGTCCCACTACGCCAAGTCGAATACAAGCAGCTCGACGATTACTATCGACAGGATATAGCAGCGAAAAAACAGAGGGAGGAAGCTAAGGCAAAGATTTTGTATGAACAGAAAGGGTTCTGCAAGGAAGGAGGGGAGGGGGATGGTTACTGAGGTGCATGACGTCCCCCGCTTTCCGGCAGATTCATTAAGCCCCAGGGGAAGCGGGGACAATCAGTCGTAGATTATGTTACAGGTCATTCCATTTCCCCTGTGTCCGAGCTCGAACGAAGACGCTGACAGAATATAGATGTGGGTACTCAGGAACGCGTACTACTACTCTTTTTTCTTCTTTCCCTTCTTCCTCAGATCACCGTTGGGCTTGAGTTTTGACTGTCCATTGGCAGTTGGCCTTGACAAAGGTGAAGAGGGTTCGAGCATCTTCCCATTACCGAGGTGGACCTGGGGGTCGAGGATATCCTCTACACGTTTTCGAATCTCTCGCTCAAGCTTCGTCAACTTTTGCAATGCTTGGTCCTTGATCTCTTTGTCAAACTCGACCTCAGCCATGCGCAACTTCTGCCAACTGAGGCGGTTATCAGAGCGTGACAGTTGTCTAAGTGGGAGTAAAACGCACCCGGAATGCCGATCGCACTTTTTTTTGCCCATGCACCACCATTCCTCTTCCTCTTGCGTGCCGTCTACATCGGCTTGACTGTGACCCTCTTCATAACTCTCTAGCACACTCGCGCCGAACTCGGCCACCTCCTCGTCACCAAAGCACAGTCGCTGGTCCCATCCGCATTGCTCGATGGTGTCTGCATGCTGGATAGCAAGTTCCGTCACCTTTTCCCGCCAAGCGACGACGTCCATTTCGGCTTTCAGCGTCTCTCTCTTTTGAACCAGCGTTTCGAGACGTGCACGTAGCCTCGTAAGCTCACGATCGGCTTTGGTAACCTTTGGCAGGACGACTGCCAACGTTGGCCCATCCTCGGCCTTTGTGGTCGGGCGAGATCGCTCGTCTAGAACGCGGGCTGACGCCACGACGCCCTCGCGTCGTTCTGCGTTCTTCACGGTGTCCCAGAGTCGATCTCGGTTTCCACCGTTTTCCACCCAGACAGAGATGCGCATGTGCATTGACTGCACACCACACTCGTCGGAACAATACTTGGAGAATGCTCCGCGTGCGGGCTTGTGACACGCTTCTGGTGAATTGGGGTCGCGTTGCCTGAGCCCGTTAAGACAGCGGCGTTTCCAGGTCGTGCGAAGGTGGGGATTCTCTAGACATCATCATTCACATCGCCTTAGCAGATATAGAATACGGTGGCTGGCTAATGTACGCACTTTCCACACAAACCGGGCAAATGAACTGGTCGACAAGATCAATCTCGAGGTCTGGCATGTGGACGCACGAAGTGTGATACCATTCGTCACACCTGAGAAAACCGAGGTGTGAGTCAATGTAACTAAAGAATCAAGCGGCGCCATACCGGTCGCAAGCGATCATAACCCTCTCGTCGTCGTATCTTGTCTTACAGACGCAGTACAACTTGTCTTCCACCTCTTCCTCATCACCTTCAGGCTCTGCCTCACCCGGCGCTTTATTCTCCGAACCAGGTACGGAGCTTGTACCCGGAGGCATAGCGGACGTGGATCTAGATCGCGAAGCCAAAGCAGATTTCTTTGCTAAATTGACGGCCAATTTCTTGCTTTTGAATGGCACTGCGGATAAAGCATCGGAGGGCGTCTTGGGCTTCGTTTTCGTCGAGCCGCTTGGCTTTACACGGCTCTTGGGCTGTGGATGATGCTTTGCCTTGTGGAGAGTCAGATACGAAGCGAAAAGCTAGCATGTGGTGAAATTACCTTCTTTTTCTGAGATGGCCGCTCCTCTTGTTTCAAAGCGCTGCTCTCGGAATCACGACCACCCACAGCTGTATCTGTCGGGACAACTGAAGCCCTTTCCTGCTTGACCACATGAACCGGGACAGTTACAACGGTAGATGGCTCAGGTGAGGAGAGTGTATTGAATGTGGATTCTTGTTTGAGGAGAGGCGAACGAGAAGAATGTTTCCCCTCGGATGAAACAAAGTCATGTTTCTTTGATTTACTCTGCGACCCACGCGAGGGCATATCATCCCCAATAAGACTGAGAAGCTCTTCATCGACATCCATGTCCACACGCCTTTGCTCTCCAATCTGACTCTGCTTCCATTCTATTGCGGAAGCCTCGTCGTCGTCATCGAGATTAATTGAGCGAGATGCATCGTCAATCTCCGGGAGATCATCTCGAATTGGAAGAGAAGTGGACTCTGCAACCAGGGGTGTGGTAGCAAGCGATCTCACTACTTCATCAACTCTCGATGAGGCGAGCGGCGTTTCGGCCTTCACTGGGATCTCGAGTTCCGGATTGGGTGCAGCCTCACGAGTTTCAATAGCGCTAGATATCCACGCCTCCATAGGGTGATCGGGCTTAGTTTCGTCTCTGGAGCCAGGAGTAGCAGGTGAAAGAGGGCGTGGTGACGGTGAGGCAGTGGCCGGAGGGGGGTCGGCTTCATGATCTGAAGGAGGTTGATAAGGGGCATCTTCATGTGGGGGGAGGTCGGGGATTCTTGAACTCAATCCGATATCTGGTACTCCATGCGCGGTGTCTGTGCGTACATTAGGCTGAGGTGGCGGAGGCGATAGTGACTTGACAAGCCCAGAAGGACTTGGGTCATCGTCAACGGCGTTCAATGCCGATGCCGAGGTTAGAATGGCACGCCTGTCGTGTTTCGTGGTTGGCGAGTTGTCGTTGTCAAGTGGAAAAGACTCCGGCAATGCTACAGGAGACTCTTGCGAGGCAAAGGCTCGTATCTTTACCGCCTCACTTAGGTTATCAGCACTTTGTATTTCGATGGACTTTGGTGAGAGCGTGACCACGGAAATTGAGTTGCTGCGTGGCGGGGTATGAGCCTGTGTCCCACGGCCTTTATCCTCTTCGGGTGCCAACATTTGTTGTTGCAACGCAAAAGTTGGGGCCGCTGATGGTCCCAGGGGTGTGGACGACGCCAGTGGAGGGGACGGTGAGCTCCGTGGAGCGCTATGCTTTTCTAATATCACATTCGTATGGTAGATCTTCTGTCGTGGTGGATGAGAGTCGATATGGGATCGTATATCCTGGTGCAGACTTGGCCGCGGTTCTGCGGTACGGAGGACATGCTGACTTTCGCCAGGGAGGATGGTGGCAGGAGCCAAGTCACGATAAGTTGGGACGTGGCTTTGGAACGTATGCTTTTCTTCTTCTACCCTTAATTGCGCTCTTGTCGCATCCCTCACTGGGGACACGCGTCTGCCCCTAGTTCCGGCCTCCTCCGAGCCCTGCGAGGACATGGCAGGAGCAGGGAGGACCTCTTTACGAATCTCCGACGACAATCCGCGCGGCTTGATTCCCGGTCCCATCAATCCACCGAATTGTGAGGACGAATCCCAAGAAGGCAGTGAATCCCAGCTACGGTCAGAGGCAGAGTTAGAGTCTGACTGACGCCGGCGCTTAGAGGGGTGCGCCTCAGGGCTGACGCCGATCCTGAGAGAGGACTCAGAATACGAGTCGTGCAGAAGAGGTCCCGAAATGGCATTGGGTGTAATGGGAGCGCGAGGTGCAGGAGCTTGAACGTGCATTCGAGGGGCTTCGAGGGTCGGATGGAAGTGCCGCTCTGGGCTCCTTTGAACGGCGGAACGGGTAGTATCAGGTCTAGAGGCCAGCCTACCCTCAAGCCTGTCCCGCTCTACGGTAGCAGCTTGAACGAGGGCTTCGAGTCCGCCGAGAGGAGATTGTTGAGGGGAAACGGGGTTCAGCAGGGTCTGCGGAAAGGATGAAGTTGTCGTCGAGATGCGAGAGAGTGACGAATGATGCATGGAGGATGATGGGACAGGCTCCGTATGGCGGGAGTGTCCAGGGCTGGGGGAGATGGGGCGCTGGAAGGAGTCGTATCGAGGGACATTAGTGTATGCGGGAGAGTGATAATATCCAGCGGGGGATGGCGCTAGTCGTTGTGTGTAGAGAAGGGGTGAGCTAGGAGAGTGGACTGAAGGTGGGTGAGTGAGTGAGATTGTTGAGGCAGGGGATGCAGAAGACAGACGCGCTGTGGGGAAAGGAGACTGAGAGTAGGAGTGATGTGGGGACGAAGAGGGGACGTGAAATGGTTGCGGCTGCTGGCTCGAGCGCAACTGCGAGGCCGCGGCGTCTGGATGGGCAAAAGGGAAGTGGTCTTGAGACGGGTTGTATGCGCGACGCGAGACCGAGGCGGGAGCGGGCCAGGGGTACGAGGGAGGATTGGGAAAGTCAGGGGAAGGGGTGCGGCGAGAGTGACGATATTGAGTGGATGAAGGAGACACACTGGCCATTGCCCTGGGCGACGAGGGGCCAGGGAATGGGCGGGTTGGCGATGTCGCAGGAGGGTCATCTTCACACAAAAGAGCTGAGATGGAGACCCGACGAGAGGCCATGGCATTG